CAGCCCTGCCAGCACGAGGCTGCCCAGAACCGACGGCCGGCCCCACGCTGCCTGCCATGGACACATAGCACGGCTGCCAGGAGCAGTTCTGGGCCATCAAAGGGCAGCAGCATCAGCTTTCACAAGCAGTGGGAAAAATAAACACCCCCTCAACCTGTTGATCCTATTCTATTTTGCAACACAGAAATGATGGCTTTCAACTCAAGCCAAAAATTCCTTCCTGAGTCATGGCGGCTGGTTTCTGAGCGGTGCCCCTGCTCTGTGCTTGTCTTAACTGGAAAATGACCAGTATGAGTAAGCAAAGCGTTGCAGCCTGTCCCCGCCTCGTGCGCATGCCACGGCACTAAGTAAATAGAATAAATACGAAGTTGAATGGGGAACAGACTTGCCTTTGGGAGGCCCTTTAACAAATAAATGTAAAGATTAATTTTTCCACATCCTCAGAATTGAAGGCAGTCAAAAAGCTCTTAGTCAATCTCATGTGAGAGAAACGTTTCTGAAAGACTGCTGAATTTTCAAATTTCACATCCCTCAGGTTTGGCTACTATCACTTTTCTCGAAGTCTTTTATAATGAAATTTCATATGAAAATGCATTTAATTCGTTTTCTAAAAAAAAAAAAAAAAAAAAATCCGAATCTTCTTGGAGAATCGAGGCTTCTGAAACCTGGTAAGAGGGCCATCGCTGGAGGGCTGTGTCCCGGTAAGCACCACCTGAGACAGTCGTTTCGGTGGGTCCACACCTACGGTGGCTTTTTCGACACCTGTTCCCTTCAGCCCAACGGGGTGCAGTGAGCAGGGGAGGCCACGTCAAACACTGCATTTGGGTATCCAGTGAGTCCCCAGGTGGGACAGGCAAATGCTCCCTCAGTAGCCCTGTTTCAGGATTTCTTGCCTGCCATGTGGGTGTCGGCCGAAAGACAGCTTGCCCCCCGCATCATGAAATGGTAGGATCTGGAAGTGCCAGTCGTTGCGTGTTACACAGTGTCCGCCTATCTGTCCTCTGGGAAGGAATTTAGGGAGGAAGAGGCAACGGGTAACTCTGTCACCTTGCACATGTGCTTCCAACGGCCACATTCTCAGGCGACCCCGTCAACGAGTTACCAAGGCTCTGACAAATGGCCTCACAAATGGCGGATTTAGTGGTGGGTGGCAGAGAAGGGAGAGGGAAGAGTCCCAGATGCTTGCCATTTAATCAGGACCAGAGTGCAGTTAAACATTCTTCATCTCAAAGTTGGCCGGGTATGACTTGATGGAGAATAGCTCTCTGACTCAGCTCTGACCAGGCCGGTGACTTAAATAGCCTATTAATACCCTTTTACCTCGTTCATGACAAGAAGTAAAAGAAAGCTCAACTGACAATCCCTTAGCTGTAAAATTGAGTGCATCATAAAATAACCGTAAAGTCAATATCTAGTGTTAGGTCCATTAAAAATGTCACACTTTGGAAATGTCTTAATGTGGCCCCTGGGAAGCAGGCGAAACAATGCTGGTGTGCGGGATATTACCTCGTCAGCCCATAGCCCTGGTGAGACCAGCTTAAGGGTGGGTTCTTCTGCTCTGTCCTACGTGTGCTGGGGGTGATGTGGGGTCAGGGTGGGGGGGGGGGGGGGGGGGGGGGGGGGGGGGGGGGGGGGGGAGGGCAGAGCGAGAAAAGGGAAGAAGACAGGAGAGAAGAGAAAAAGAAGAGATACATACATGGTTATTAAACATCCTCAGAAGTCCAGCTTTCTTTGTTTCGTTATTTGTTTACATCTTCCCCGCCACCTTTCCTGTTGTTTAGCTTCTGGTCAGATCAGTGAGGTGCCCCGGAAAAGGAAGAAGCTGAGAGTACAGCTCAGGAGGCTGGAGAGAGGCAGTGGGGCAAACAGGGTTCCCTGGCATGGCGCCAAGGAAGCCCATGTTCCTCTGATGGATTCTTCAACTATGGTGCTGACTCATCGTGACTCTGTTTCCCCACAGTGGAGGTGGTCAGGACAGTCCCCTCCTGCCCACACCGCACGTTTCTGACAAATCCACCTAAGGTCTACGCTTAGAGTGGAAAAATAGCAAGGGCTGATGATGCCAGGTGATACTGTGACATGGCCACCAGGCATGTCGGACCCCCCTCACTGAACATGAGGTAAGAGGGATGGGTGAGGGTTGGAGAGAACAAGGTGGCTGGGCTGAGGCCTGTTTATGAAGTTTGGGCGTGTCAGGCGGTATTGTCTCTGTGCCGTGCTGAGACCTCTCTGTGGGGCTTGACTCCAGGTACCCTGTCCCCAACCCAGCACCTTCTCCTCACTCACCACCACCCTGCAGAGCCTTTGGAATCGTATCACTGCTGCCTTTCACCACCCACTCTAATTAAGGAGTCTTAACAAGGAAGCTCCTTCTATTTCCTCCAACTTCGGCTTTTGAATGCTCTTAAATTTCCCATCACTCCTTTTTGGGTCTTGGGTCTTTGACATTCAATTATACTTTGTAAAAAATCTCTAAACCAGTTTCCATGAAGCCTCTCCACCAAATCAATGTGTGGGCACCACAAGGGAAAGAATTCTCCCAAACTCTCCCCAGGGCTCCCAAAGGTCATTCTACTTTTTTTCCCCCCCTTTCACAGCAATCCATGCTTAAAAGCATCATCTAATGAGCAAACACGCATGGGAGTAAATGCTCTGAGAGACATCCCGCTGTGACAGTCAGCTGATTAAAAGCAAAATGACAGATCTGTAACCAACGACACAATATGGTGGAGAATGCTGTTAGCACATGCACGCACCCACACTTTGCTCTGTGCAGCATGGTGAGGAACAGAAATTAGTTGAAATGGCTGGATCATGCAATTATTGGGAAAGAAGCTGTGGGGGAGAATAAAAAAAATGTGAATACCTGTGTAGGTCATAGCTTCCTCCATCTTTATTTCCTGACATAGGAAAATACAAGAGTAATTTATGTTAGCTTTAGAACTCATAAAACCATTCACTATGTCGTTTTCCATGCACAACATCTAAATCCTAGAAAGAAACATATTGTGTTAAATACAGACAGTGCTGAAGTCCCACAGAGCTTTTCTAGTAGACAGGTTCAAAATGAGCAGTGAAAGCTATAAATTAAAAGGTTTGAGATAAAATGTATAGGAGTTTCTTTGGTGGCAAAGGAGGAGAGAGCCCATTTAAAAGCAGTATGAAAAGTACTTCCAGTCAGTCTCAGTAAAATTTTGGTTATTTTTAGACAAAACAGTTGGGAAAAAAGGGGGGAGGGCAACAATCATCTCCTGTAGGAATTGTCTAGAAGGTGGAGGGGACTACTGGCTTCACTGGCTCTCCCTCGTGTGTCATTCCATCAAGAGACTATCAGACTTCCCTGAACAGAGTTAGGTCACCACCAGTAAGAGAGCCAGGTCCTTTGGGGGAGAGCTGTCTGGGTATAAAATTTCGAAAAGCAATAATTGGTTCAATTTCTAGGCCTTATTGAGATTTTTCGTTTGTTTATTTTGTTTTTGGTGCGTGGAGGGGTAAGATTTGAGGAAAAGCTCAAACAGATAAGCAGGATATCTGAAAAGATTGGAGCTGGGTGGGGTCAGCGACCAAAGACCTATTCTGCAGCTCAGTCAGGACTGGACTTTACAGGCGGCCGAATGATTTGATTAAGGTGTTAACTGAGAAGTGTTGGCCGATGGCTGTGAGGTGACCTCTCTCTCACAGTGTTTATAATTTCTTTTGGGGTCTTTGCAGCTTGAAAGCCTCAGGACCCTGCAGGGGTGGAAATGACAGGAGGCAGACATTGATTTTTTGGAGGTAGGACCCCCTCCCCCCTTCAAGTCACATGACCCAGGGGAGAGGCCTACTTTTAGGGCTGGTGATATTGGCTCTGCCAGGTGCCCAGAGACACCGGCTGTTAGGGACACAAGGCAAACTCAGCTGCATACAAAGGGCTCCTGCAAACCGCTCCCCACCATCACAGAGTTCAGCTCTTCGCTCTTTTGGGGTTGGCTGCCGTGCTGATGCCAATGACCTCGCCAGTGCCAGCTCCTTCTCCTCCCTTCATTGGACTGCTGGAATTTACGTTTCTTTTTTTTTTTTTTAATTTTTTTTTTTTTCAACGTTTATTTATTTTTGGGACAGAGAGAGACAGAGCATGAACGGGGGAGGGGCAGAGAGAGAGGGAGACACAGAATGTGAAACAGGCTCCAGGCTCTGAGCCATCAGCCCAGAGCCCGATGCGGGGCTCGAACTCACGGACCGCGAGATCGTGACCTGGCTGAAGTCGGACGCTTAACCGACTGCGCCACCCAGGCGCCCCAGGAATTTACGTTTCTACAGGAATTACGACAAACTGAGTATTCTCATCAATTAGGAAAGAGCTGGGACAGACACCGAAAAAAATGGCAGCCTCACGAACCACAGGCGAAATTAGTTTAATGCTGCAGATCTGGGAGGGAGCATCTAGTTGATTCCATATGGACCCTCTAACACTGCTGGGTCCCAAGACAGTGAATTACCCAAGTATCTCTAGTTTCAGAGGGGAAATACTGGTACAAGAAATCGAATTCACTGTGTCACGGGCAGGGGTCCAATTAGGGCAGCTCCCAACTGTGCTAAGCAGAAACAGGACATTGTGTGTTCCCATCCAAATTCAGTTAAAAAATGAGGATATCCTGGTTTGCCTAAGAGTATAGATCACGCCTGTTGACAGCAATAACAAATAAATCCCCAATGCCTTCATCCTGCTTGCCAGTGGATGCTTCTATCAGGAAGGTTTACTAGTAGAACAGACGTGTGGGACAAATTGGAATAAAACACTCACCAAATCTTTTGGCGTGTTAAATTTTTCATTAATGCTCCCAGAGATAAACTTAGAGAACAGATTTTGTTTGGAACTGCCTGGAAGTGTCCCAATCTCTGGGTTTCTATGCATAGCGTCGTTTCAAAGGCAGAAAACTTGACAACACAAAGAATTTCCCAGGAAATACAGGAAAAAACAACAACAACAACAACCACCTTCCCCCCCCCCCCCCCCTTACCGACTTCAAGGCCCTTAGGTCTTGGATTGCACTGCTTATACCCTTGGCAGCTTCTGAGCTCCATGAGTTGTACATGTAGCTGGTTCAAAATGCCCCGTTCCACTGTGTGCACTGTGTTTGTGAGCTGTGGGTGAAGAGGCCAGGACAACATATTTAAGCTCATGTTCTGGCTGTTTTGTTTCCAACAACCTTCGTAAAATGAAAACATACTGACTTACCTGATAAGGATCTGTATTCATATCAAAATACTCCAAAAAGCCAGTGGCGAACTCACAGAAAAGAAAATTATGCGTCTCATTAACTGTACGTAAACACCAGTAGGTATTATTGTTAGAGCTCGTGCAGGCGCAGAAAGATCCCACTGTTGGTAAAAAAGAAAAACGAAAGGCAAAGAATGAAAAAAACGAAAACGTAGGCAGGCTAGCCATTCTAGCATTTCCTTATCTTTATAACTTAGGGGCACATTTTCTTTCTTGTAAGTACTATGTGTTTAGATGTTAAAAAAATTGTATTTTCCCCCCTCTCGAAGAGGTGGAAAGTGGGGAAGGGTGGAAAACGGGGAAAACGATGGCAATCTATGATCGTGAATACAGGCTGAAGGCCAGGGTGAAGTTTTAGGCACGTTGGTTTGCCCCCCGCCCCCGTTGGGCAGTGGTCTCTGGAATAGGGTGGGTGGAGAACAGGAAGGGAATTATCAGAATTTACATTTCTGGTTATTTTTATCTTTTATTTATTTTTTTTAAAGGATAAAATGGTTCTAAAATAAAGAGGTGGACTGGTGCCCTTGAGTGTCCTCATCTGGCCACACGTCACAAATGGTGCATGGAAAGAGGGGGTTCTGCAGCGGGAAGGGGTTTGCAGATGACTTGAGCCCAGCTCAGTGGATTGAGGGATGATGTAATTTGTGATCATTGTAGACGACACTTTCACATGAGACAGGCTATGACCTTGAACAGCTTTGGCACCATGCAGAGGCTCACTGGTTTTCTGGTGGAAAGTGTCTCAGACACTTTGGAAACAAAACAAACCATCCAGTCTTCTTCTATAGAAAGAAAGTTTCTAAATTTCTGACCTCTCCTGCAACGATAATTGAACTTTAGAAATATGCTGTCTAGCAAATACTTTTAAAGCAGTTGGAATAGGCACACTTAATGCGCATTCATCGTCTACTATGTACTTTGCATGTATTAACTCATTTAATCCTTAAAAAAATCTTATGAGACAAAGATTATTGTTATTTCCATTTTACAGATGGGAAAAACGAGGCTCAGAGAGGGTAAGTAATTTATTTGAGGTCACACAACTGACAAGTAGCAGCATTAAGGGTCTGGCTGGAGGGTATACCCTTAACCACTATATGTCACTTACCCACCTATCCAGTATTAAACACACTAAATCTGTCCCCTTAAGCTAAAAGAAATGTTTTAGACAATGAATGAGAAATGATTTTTTTTCTAATTTTATTTTGATAGACTATTTTTAGAGCATAAGATGGTTCACAGCAAAACTGAGCGGAAGGCACAGAGAATTTCTAGAGAATACCCCCATCTCCACAGATGCAGAACCTTCCCCACTATCAATATCTCTCAACACGGAGACAACTAATGAACCTACATGAACACGACGTCATCACCCAAAGTCCATAGCCTACATTAGGGTTTGCTCTTGGTGTCGTACGTCCTATGGGCTTTGACCAACGTACGGTGACATGTGTCTACCAGTATAGGGTCATACGCTGCTGGTACGTCACATCACTGACCTAAAGATCCGCATTTCTCCATCTATTCCTTTCTGTCCACAGGAGATGCTTTTTCAGGCTGCTGTGTTTCCAGGGGCCCAGCCCAGAGCTTGGCGGAGAACAGACCCCCCACAACCTGAATGACCCTCAGAGATCCTCATGTCCCGTTTTAGGGAACACCATGGAAAGTCAGAATGCTATGAGTTTAAGAGTTCACTTGGCTTTAGCGTGGCTGGAAATGAAAATGCAAACTTGAACGCTGAAATCAAAAGGCATCAAGATGGAAAGACAAAACAAAAATCCTCATAGGTAGGCCTGAAACTCCCAAAGAATGGGTCTTGGGTTCCTGGAGTCTCCAAATCCCACTTGGGGAAACACTGACCCAGTTGGTCCTACTGTGATCTTTTCAATGAGGAGATCTGGGGTTTTAGCTACTCCCTGGGTAGGTAAGCCTTCAGTCAGATGATGTGCCACAAGTATTTAGGGCATTATTTCTAGATGGCCTCAGTGAACACTGTGCACAGACCACCAAAACAAATGTTAAGTATAATTTTAAAAGCACACAATTGTTATTATTCCATGTCATCAGCAATTCCGTATAAAACTAAATATTTTGTGGAGTCTCTATTCTTCCCTGCAAACATGACACTAGGTAGTTAAGGGGGCTGAGAATTAGTAGGATATGGCTCCTGCCTTTAAGGGGGTTTCACTTCCTTTTATTATACTTAGAGCATTACATGAAATACAGCAGCGACAAAATACATAAGAGGCAAAATCGTTTGCCCATTTATTTAGTTATTCAGTCATAGAGCAGTCTTGCTGGGTGGGCACTCTGCCAGGAGGTGGGCGCTATGTGAAATAACACCAACAGGAGAAAGACCCAGGGCGAGCTTGGCCTTTTCAAGTAAAATGTGAAAACAAATATCTAAAGAAAAAAATAATGCTTGGCAAAAATCATTCTAGAAAATAAGAGGATGCTCCCCACTTGAGTTATTCTAGATCCCTGGTTTTATGCGGCTGAAGCCCTGGTCTTCAGGACTGTAGTGTGAGTCACTGTCTCTGCGTGGCAGCAGTTAGTGGCATTTAGAAGGAACAATTGATACGAGGTGACGGGTGTTAATGCAATCATCATTTCACAGTCGGCAAAACCTTGGTTTTCGAGCATAATTTGTTCTGGAAACATGCTTATAATCCAAAGCACTTGTGTATCAAAGCGAATTTCAAGAGCCATTGGCTCAGCTGTGATCGTGTGACGTTCGGCGTCACGGACCGCTCGTACTGCAAGACATCGCTCGTTTGTCCAGTTAAAATTTATTAGAAACGTTTGCCCGCCTTGCAGAACACGCGCAGAGCAAGTTACTCGCAATCCAAGGTTCCACTGTGCATAGACGTCAGGTCTGTCTGCTATATACCTTAAAACTTATACAGCGCTACTCCATAAAACTGGGAGAAAGATTTCTAAAAAACCCTCAAAAACCAAACCACTCAAAACTTACGGTTCCAGAACGGGGCCGTCTGCCAGTGGTTGTTGTCATGCGTGAAGCAGGTGAGGCCCGGGAGGCTGCATTCCTCCCCCTTCCTCTGCCTTTTCTTCTCCTTCCTCTCCTTCTTCCTCCTACGGTTCTCCTTGAAAAGCTGCAGTTTGCTGTCTACCTCCTGAGCAGCTTCCCTATCCCAACAGAAGGGATCTGTTAATGATCGGAGAGCACTTTCCCAACGGAAACTACTATCTTCGCTCTGTATCTCACACAAATAGGCAGACACACAATAATAAGATGACTTTTATCTTCACAGAGGGCCTCCTCAAACTCTAATTGGCAAGAACGAAGGCATACTCATTAAGTGACAGCTCGCTTAGAATGTTACGGAGCCTTGGGGCGCCTGGGTGGCTCAGTCAGTTGGGCATCTGTCTTCAGCTCAGGTCCTGACCTCGTGAGTTTGAGCCCAGCATCGGGCTCTCGGCCGTCAGCACGGAACTGGCTTCATTCGGATCCTTTGTCTCCCTTCTCTCTGCCCCTCCCCCACCTCTCAAAAATAAACATTAAAAAAAATTGTAAAAAAAAAAGTAAAAAGAATTTGATTGAGCCTTAAAGGATCAACGTTTTCTTTCTTATGTACATGTAAACACTGGTGGAAGTACGTGTCAATGTGAATGCGTGGATCCTGCCACACCCTGTGGACAAATGGCTTCACTTCCTGGGGACTCAGTATTTATCAGCCATAACGTCAATGGATAGTTGGATTAGATGCCTTGGAAAGAATTTCCTTTGGTTAGTATTTTGTTATTTTCCATAAAAGTCTCAACTTCTAATATCCTAAATCCCCTTCATATGCCAATTATATTATTATTTTAAAAATACGTGTATTTCTTCCAACTTTCAGAACTTAGCACAACTGCAGACTACCCTATGGAATACACCAACCTAAGCAAGACGGTCCCCATTTCCCAATCACTGTCCACAGAAAACAGAGCATGGAATAAAATCCAGTTACCTTCCCGACATTGGCAGACAACACATAGAGAATTAGAACAAACTCCTCATAGCTCCTCCTCAAAGGATTCCAAAAACATTGCCATGCTCTCTCAGCAAGGTGTGGGCTTTGTTTCCAGCTTCTGGGACTGGGTGCCCTCTTGGCTGAATCTGCTTTTATGAAGCAGCACCACTTGGAACAAGGGGGTCCCTGCTGTGTTTCAGAAGTGCCCAGTGGACAGTCCTTCACTCCAAGCAAATGTGGAAAACAGAGTCACTTACTTAAATGGGTGGAGATGACTCTTCACCTTCTCTTGCTTTTTCACACCTTTCTCTTTATTATAATAGCTACGGGCAAGAAGATTGAAAAGTGAGTCTTAGTCCCACATTTGATCAGACAGTTCATTTTAGAAACAGAAGGCAGAATAGAAGGAAAGCTGTTACTTTGTCGTAACTATTTAGCTCAAAGGGACCTTTTAACCTTGGGCTGAGGTTTATGACGGATCTCATTTGACCCGAACAGGTTAGGTCATTACAGTACATGGTAACAAATTCAGTTTGTTACGCCTTCTGTTGGCATAAGAGAGAAACAAGCCTGCTGCTTATCACTGTAGCTTGCGGAAACACGAGTTTAGAAAAAAAGACCGTGGGATGGTTACACGCTCACCTCTGTTTACTACAGGCACATTCCTCAGGTTTTCTCCTCTTTAGGTGCCCCCTCACTTCTCTCAAATTCTTAATTTTATCTTGCAAAGCTTCAATCTGGAAGACACATACTTGAACAGTTACCTTTTAAGGCAAGGATTTTCTATGCTGCCTACCTCTCTTTTACTTTCTGTGTTCCATCATCCTAGCTATTCATCTGAGATGATAATTAACTTGGAAACCCACTGGGCACGGAATACGCCTACCTCGATATACCTACTGATGTGCTGTAGGTAAACATTAACAGATGTCTCAACTTAGCAACTGAATCATTTCCTCGCAGAGATTTCAGTCTGCGTTGGGCCAGTCCCCGCTATGATTTTTACACTCTATTTTGTTTTCAGACAGGACCATCCCTCTATCACTGGGGAAAGATAAATACCCTGCTATTCTATTTTTCACATAATTGTAATTATAAAAAAAAAAAGATGAAGTGGACACTCAGTGAGCCCCACCGGTCACAGCCGGGCTGGCGAGCCGAGCTCACATTTGGAATACACCTTCCAATCACATAGCCGTGGCTAACCTCTTTATCAATGTATGCCTTGTGGTCCTTCCAGGCTCTGGCTGATTGATACAGTTCTCTCTCACAATGGATTGTATCATTCGGAAGAATAAAGCACCTGCAGAAACAAACCCAAAACAATAGAAATAGGTTCATATGCTAATGTTAAAATAAACATTAGAAATAGCAAAGGGAATATAATTATCTTCTAAACTCTTAATTTGGATGCAAGCAGTTGTTTGGAGCTGAGCCATAGACCAGGATGCGTGGCAATGTCTCCTGACCCACATTTACCGGTGTGGGTAAATGATGGTGACAGAGACAGACCGTTACTAAGATCGCCTTTCACAGCAATATTCAATATTCATGTCTCCAACAACAGATAACCACCGGAAAACTCCAATTTCGAAAGCCTCATCAAATGCCACAGGAAAAATGCCACAGTTATGATGGAAGAAGAAGTAAGTTGCCTGATTAGAGAAATGCAGAGTTAGAAGGGGGTTATTTATCTCATTCATTTTGTTACAGACAGGCTGCCTGAAGCACCCCATTAAGTTTGAAGCGAAGAGGGGCACCTGGGTGGCTCATCGGCTAAGCATCCGACTCCCGGTCACGATCTCAGTTTGTGGGTTTGAGCCCCATGTCTTCGGGCTTTGCTCTCACAGTGTGGAGCCTGTTTGGGATTTTCTGTCTCCCTCTCTCTCTGCCTCCCCCTTCCACCTCTCAAAAATAAATAAATAAACATTTTTAAAAAGTTTGAAGCAAAGAAACAGCCTTAGGGATAGAGAGGAATTGGGATAAGGGGTCAGTCGATACTAAAAGTGGAACCCTGGTCTAAATCTCTTAGTGTGTAACTATAACGACTGTAGTTGACCCTGGAAGAACACGCATTAGAACTACACAGGCTCACTTACGTGCAGATTTTTTTTTTTTTTTTTTTTTTTTGGATAAACACAGTACAGTACTGTAAACATCGTCTCTTCCTTGTGATTTTCTTAAAAACATTCTCTTCTCTAACTTACTTTATTGTAAGAATACCGTTTATGATACATATAAAATATGTGTTCATCAGCTGTTTATATTATCACTAACACTTCTGGTCAGCAGTAGGCCATTAGTAGTTAAGTTTCTGGGGAGTCAAAAGTTATACGTGGATTTTCAACTGTGTGTACGGGGGGGAGGGTCTGTGTCCCCAACCCCCACCGTGTTCAAGGTCAACTGTACGGGCACCGGAAGACCAGACCCAAAGATAAAGATCCTGACAGAGCTCATGACAGCATGCCTCCCCAAAGTGATATAATGAGAGAGAGAAAAAAAGACCCTGCTAATACATTCAGAAAGAAAATTTTTCTCTATCAAGACATGACCTGGATCTTGGAAGGAAATGGAGAACCAAGGTGGTCCATTAGAGCTGTGAGATTATCAGCTCCCTTCCCTGTTTCCACGGCTCCCGAGGCCCTCCGTGCTCTCTGGGTTCTGCACGGGTTCGTGAGGTGTTCCTGCGTCTTACGACCGTTCTCCAGGCCCCACGGCCCTCCCGTGGGCTGGGTTTCGTTCCTGAGGCTGTGAGCGCACCACTGTTCTGAGCCTCAGTAACGGTGCAGCACCCAGAGCCTCTACCAGTGCCAGTAATGGCTTCCATCTGTTACCCAGACTCCCACAAAGGTAACCGTTCAAGGGCAGAACTCCATGCCTGCTAAGTTAAGATGTGACAGAACCACTCTGGCTGATCAGCCTTAATGCGAAACCGAGCCCAAAGCATGTGTCCAAATGCACGACTGTTTGGACTCCCCGTGGCTTCTTTAAACCCTGGTTGTTATACAGGCCAGCCTCCAGACCCAAGTGGTATCACTTTCCGTGCCAAGTGGTATCACTTTCCGTAAAGAAGGAAGACACTGATAAGATAAGGTGACAACTGTGAACTCAGCCCTCGAGAACTGAGCCTTCCTACTTGTGGGTCACTCGGACGGTGGTGGGCAAGCCCAGGGCATTGCCTCTGTCTGCCAGCATCGTGTCCCCGTCGCCCGCAGCCTGGTGGCCTCCAGGCCCCCGGGGGCCTTCATCATGGCGCTTGGCGATGTTTCTTGGTCTCAGCACTTGCAGCTCTTCTTCTTCCAGGTTTATGTCATATATTTCGCCTTCAAATTCGACGGACAAAGAACGTGTTTGCCGAGTGTGGACAAATCTGGGCTTGTACTCTGGAAATAAGGGAAGATGTGTTAATACGGACATCCAGGTGTAGTTGAGGAGGGGGGAGAACCACCACCTGGCTCAGGGGGCATGCTGGGAAGGGGCAGGCAGTATGTACTGCACCGTTGAGGGGCAGCGGGGTGCTGTGGGCAGCCCCCTGGAATCCTCGTCCGGAGCCGTGGGCTCTCGTCTGGCTCTGGCACTGCCCGGCAGTGTGGTGGAGGGCACGTGCCTCTGGGCCTCGGCCCTTCATCCCTCCAGGCAGGGGGGAGGTCTGGGCGCCTTCTAAGCTCCTTTCCACTTACGGCAGGCTGTGAACTTGCACACTGCGTTTTCAACGCGAACTGCTAAGGCAGTTTGTTTGGATAAAACTATACTCCCAATTACGGTATTAATAACGATACTGTCATTTATCAAGCTTTTGCTATGTATCACCCACCTGATACTTATCTCTAACCCACAATCTTGGAAGGCCTGTATTATTATAATACATCCTTACATTAAGAAAACATATTAGATTGTCCGAACAGGCTCGTAGATCTGCTGCTACGCTTCTCCAGGAGGGAACACTGAAGCTCTGAATGCTACCTCGCTTTGAAAGGGTGGCCCCAGACATCTCCAGTTTGTGTTCAATGAGAACAACAGCAGGGTTTATGGTCACTGCTGTGGAGTGACATTGAGCCTCCTGGGAGAGAGGAAGCTGTCCCTACCTCCTAGCCCAACACTGGCAATCAGCTTCCGTTAAGGGAGGCTGTGGGGAATCTTTGTCATTTGTTGGCTTTCCATTTGATATCTTTGTGTGAACTATTAAACCTGGCATTTTCTCTCAGGGAGGAAAAAAAATCTCCCAAATCAATCATTCTCAGCCTTTGGGTTATGGATTCCTTTAAGAATTTATTGAAATTTATACTCAGAAAGTTATTGAAAGTTTTACACAGAAGTCCATCTGTGGACTCCAGGATAAAAAAGCCAATGCTGGGGCGCCTGGGTGGCTCAGTTGGTTAAGCGTCTGACTTCAGTTCAGGTATGATCTCGAGGTTTGTGAGTTCGAGCCTGGCGTTGGGCTCTGTGCTGACACCTTGGAGCCTGGAGCCCGCTTCAGATTCTGTGTCTCCTCCTCTCTCTGCCCTTCCCCGGCTCATGGTCTGTCTCTCTGTCTCTCAATAATAAATAAATGTTAAAAAAAAAAAAAAAGCCAGTGCTAAGAGCGTCTATTGTTCTAGTGATTGATTTGATTTCCGAATTTACATTATGGGGGACACAGGCCTGGCTCAGTCAGTAGAGCATGCAACTCTTGATCTTGGGGTTGTGGGTTCAAGTTCCACATTGGGCGTACAGCCTACTTAAAAAAAAAAAAAAAAAAAAACTACCTAATTTACAACACGGAATTGAACTTGATGTATCTTACTGATTTCCAAACCCGTATAGAAAAAATTGCCACAGATGAGTCACTTCTCACATTCAGCCACTAGATGGCACTAGACTCTCATTCTTTTATAGAAGGTTCCCGACTGGGTTTTCACATCTGTACAATCATAGGAATCTTATAGCTGCCTGATAGGGTTTTTATAAAGAAGATGGCAAGCAGTGCTTTTCATACTGAATTTGACTGTTTGACCATCCCAGCCAACAAGAGGAATTAAACAAAAACTGTCCTAAAACAGATGTGCCTAAAAAACGCATGTATGCTTTTCTTACTAGTTAAATGCATAAGCAATGAAACCTTGACTTTTTATTTTCTCCTTTTTTTTTTAAAGTAGCTCGAAGCAGACTAATCAGGATATTAGCATTAATGTAAAATACACCTGACTTAAACTCTACCCTCTGCCCCTAGCCCCACCTTTTACCCTCTATGGCTCTTTCCTGTGCGTGTTATGTTTTGTCTGGTGTGTTTACTGAATATATTTTCGTTCTATGCTTAAGTTAAAGTGTGCACATACCAAATTAGCTCTCGTATTTGGAACAGGACCATTATTTGCTTTCGCCCCAACGCCATGCATTGATAATATCTAAAATGTGGAAGGAGCGGCCTTTTCTCTCTAATGTCCACTTGCAAAGCCTTGGCCTGCCACTGAGACGTCACTGCGTGTTGCTTACTGGGAGTCCCCTGGTTTCTCAGGAACTGCCTTTGGCTCTTCCTCTGGCTTCTGCCGCTGCGATAGCCAGGCTCTCCGCAGCTGCATTCCTTGTCGTGGAAGCCGCGAGAATAGAGGTTCCGCGTGCTCTGCCGCACGGTGAGCAGGTCACTGGATCCTTTACACTTGTGAATTCGGAGCTTGCCAGATGTGTCCTCAATGCACTGCCACTTCTGCAAAAGCCAACGTGAGAGCGGTTTACCCCTCCTGCTCCAGGTGCTTCGTATCACGGGCCGCTGCATTGGGTTCCGGAAGCCCGGGCAACCCCGATAAGCAGAGCCAACGAAGGAAGGTAAGCTTTTAACTGACCCTGCAACGAGCCCCGGTTCTCTCGGTTATTTCTCTCACGGGAGGCAAAGACAGATGACGCCGGAATCATTGGAAATCAGAACTACCTCGGCGACACTAGAGCCCAAAATTGATACATAAATGCTCAGGATCCAGACTAAACAGTCTTGAGTGAGACACGTAAAAAGCCCTGAATTCACCCAGCCACAGAGCACAGCTGTCACGGCTGTTTTCACCAGACCCCTCTTCCTCTGGAAAAACAAACCTGGCTGCTTTGTTCTCAAGCCCCTGAATTTCTGACTCGGGCCAGGGAAGAGTGGCACGTGAGGGAGCCGGAGAGGAGTTTAATGGGAGTCTGTTGCTGCGCGGGCCAGCTCTCACAGGGCCGGGACGTTAGCAAACGTGTCAGGGGTTCTCTGGGCCTCTTCTTATCCTCCTCCGGACCCCGCAACCCTGAAGAGACAACGAGCACCTTCCCAAGAGACAGGCACGGCGGGGGGGGGGGGGGGGGGGGGGGGGGGGGGGGGGAATGGGTTTTCTCCTTTGAGCCTTCTATCAAGCCTGCCGCAGACACGGCAGGCTTACTTCTAGATCAATGGGACGCGGCACTGGCTCTCCCTGTCCCTCCCACCTGCTGCCCAGGCTTCTTGAACTTCAGTCTGCCTGAAGTAATAGCACTTCTCCTCCGGGCTCCGTATGTTACCTAAAGGCCTAATAACCTTCCTTTTACTTTCTCTTTTCCCCTGGCCTCCTCTCTAAAATGGTAATTTGGGAAGTATGCTGACCTTGGTCTGAAGTTGACCACAGTTGTGACAACACGCTGTCATGCAGTGTTATCAAACTTTTGTCTTTTTTTCCCTTCCATCTATGAGTATCCTCTGTATACAATTATTGACACTTTTCTCTAAATGGACACATTTCTAAGCAGTGGCCAAAGCAACAGCCCCTGCAAAATTATGTATTTGGTGTGCCAGTTACATATTTCAAATACATATTAAAATAAATAAAAAATTATTAAATAAAAGATGCTCTTTCCTGAGCCACATATAATGATCTCACCATACCCTCCTTGTGTACCTGTAACCATACTTTGGATTGCATTTTAATTTCAAGGTGATCTGATGCAAGGTAAAATTTAGTCAAGGGTCCCAGATGACTTGGCCAGCAGACAAAGGACGCTCGTGTACAAAATGGAGTGCGATCCACTGAGATACCACCTCACACCGGTCAGAGTGGCTAAAATGAACAAATTAGGAAACAACAGGTGTTGGCGAGGATGTGGAGAAACGGGAACCCTCTTGCACTGTTGGTGGGGATGCAAACCGGGGCAGCCGCTCTGGAAAACAGTGTGGAGGTTCCTCAAAAAATTAAGAATAGATCTACCCTATGACCCAGCAATAGCACTGCTAGGAATTTACCCAAGAGATACAGGAGTGCTGATGCATAGGGGCACACGTACCCCAATGTTTAGAGCAGCACTTTCAACAATAGCCAAATGATGGAAAGAGCCTAAGTGTCCATCAACTGATGAATGGATAAAGAAGATGTGGTTTATATATACAAAGGAGTACTACTTGGTAATGAGAAAGAATGAGATCCTGTCATTTGCAGCAACGTGGATGGAACTGGAGGGTATTATTAAGTGAAATAAGTCAGTCAGAGAAGGACAGATATCGTATGTTTTCAGTCATATGTGGATCTTGAGAAACTTAACAGAAGACCATGGGGGAGGGGAAGGGGAAAAAATAGTTACAAAGAGAGAGGGAGGGAGGCAAACCATAGGAGACTCTTAAATACAGAGAACAAACTGAGGGGGCCGGGGGGGGGTGGGGGAGAGGGGAAAGCGAGTGATGGACATTGAGGAGGGCACTTGTTGGGATGAGCACTGGGTGTTGTATGTAAGTGATGAACCACGGGAATCTACTCCAAAAACCAAGAGCACACTTTACACCCTGTATGTTAGCCAATTTAACAAGAAATTATATTACAAACAGAAAACAAAACAAACAAAAACCCTACCCCAAAAACCAAATGGAGTGTGACCATTCACAATGGACCAATGTACAGAGTCATGCTTTGTTTTTTCTTAATGGAGCCATGTGCCCTCAATAAGCATTGAATTATCGGTGCTGCCTTTGCACTTCTACCCGATAGTCCCCAAATTCCGGGGCCATAGGGCTTGTTCTGTGATTTTGCTTTAGCCCCCATACACTCGGTGGTACAGAATTCGGTGATTTCAAGCCACGTCAGGTTACAGTCTTCTTTTGTGGCTTGACCAGCATATCCTGAATGTCCATCATCTCCATCCAGAGAAGCAGGCTCAAGGGACAGGGCAACTCTATTTACAAAGCCATGAAAAGGTGACACAAACAAGCACAGTCAAGGACTAACTAAGTTAGAGATAATTTAACTGAAGAAAAAAAGTGAAGTCAACTTGATCAGGCACACAGGACTTATGTCAGGTCAGTGGTTCTCACACATGGCTGGGCTTTGGGAGTTTCAAAAGCTCCCCTGGTGATTCTAATGTGCAGTTGGGGTTAAGAACAACCGCTTTCAATTTGCGACTGGTTCTTGGACCTCTTTGCAGCTGGAATCCCTGGCAGGGGCAAAAGAGGTCTAAGTAGCTCGGACGGAGGAGTCTTTGGGAAGGATATATGCATTTTTGGGCGTGGATATGCAAAGGAAGCTGTGTCTAGAAATGCACTGATGCAATCAGGTCAGAAAACGACTCTAGTTGAACAGAGGTACACTTCCAGCTCGTCTACACTGGCAGGACTATGCATTCTCTGTTAGAGTAACCAGTTTTCCTTACTTTCTCTCTATAGGTAGTTGACAAGTGATAGAATTTCGTCTTTGCAAATGCTTAGCGGAAAGCTGTGTGTGCCTGTTCTGCCATTCAAGGTGGAGACCAGTGACTTTCAAGCCTGGGTGTGTGGCACTTCCAGACACATCCAGTGAGCTTGAGGAAGTGTCGTGAAGTTCTTGAGAAAAGTTCTCAGAAACAGATATACAATTCCCTTAAGGAATAACGATATGCCCTGTGGAATTTTTGCTGGTGAGAAGTGTCAGCAAAATCAATGATAACCTTTTATAGCTCCAGAAAGTTTGGTGATCAGTGATACTAGAGTGTCAGTCTAGATCTGTATTTGTCCTAAATGCAAATGGTTTCAGACTTCTCCATCTATCTGGGTAACCTCTAACTCCAGCATTCAAAAACTAAGAGTTTACTACTTAATTCCAAGGGTAGCAAAAGAAGAGGCCAGTGTTCTACAGCCTAGTAGAAGCTTAAGAAATACTCTGTTTTCTCCCAGACAGGAAAACATGGTTGTCTTTATTCTTGTCTGGTCTTGTGTCTTTTGTGGTTCGAATTTATACCAATTTTGGTACACATACTAATTTTTAAAACACGTAACTGCAGTGAAAACCTTCCTTAGTTTTGTAACCATAACGCACTAAAAAAAAAAATTCCGCCTTTTTCTTGGCCTTGAAGAGCTGAGTGTACAGAACAGAAAGCGTAGGCAGAATTTTTAGTGATTTGGTCTATTTGGAATCTAACCGGCATTTTCCCATTAGCCAAATTCCTTGCTAATGTCCCATGGATCAGAGGTGAAGGGAAGGGGTGTTTCTTTCCTGAGACATGAATTTAACCAAACCTGAGGTCTGGTACCATCCTGGGCACTGGTGACATATCACACAAATCAAATATGCACACATATATGTATGCATATATGCATATATGTATGTATGTATGCATATATGCATATATGTATGTATGTATGCTTCTGTACACACATGCACACACGTACCCACATATACTAAAGGTATACATCCACCTACACACATTCTTGTATAAAACAAGGGCCACAGTGAAAAATGCCAACGCTTTTCTATACCATGAACCCTTTGAACAAGCCATAGACCCTATCAGATGGAGTAATTAGCTAGAGGCTTTCAAACTGTTCTTAGTGGCAAGCCTACTAGCAATTTTAATGAAATGTAATTACCACATATTTGCCACAGTCATTTTAGTGTTCGATATCATGATAATTTTTACAGCTGAGCAATAAATCCTTGAATAACTGCCACCACCGTGGTCATCATTGAGAGTTTATAGAGGGAGGCGAGGGAAGAGAACTTTCAGAGAATTGCTCTGAAACTTACACCACCAGTCAGTTACACGCTCAAAACAATGAGGAGATGGTTTCGCAGTGCAGAAGAGCTTCCGGAATCAGAAGGAAGCACGAACTCAGGGAGGCATCTGCTAACGGGACACGGAGTCAGCCTCAGAAACGAGCTTTGTGAAAGACCCGCCCGTGCAGACATACAGACATCAAACTGTCTCCCTTTTGTCTACTCTCTTGAAGTTTATCAGTAAATCAGTTAACTGCCAAAGCCGATGGTCTCCACCTTCCCTGACCACTCACCCCTTCTGTAAATTCCTTTGCCACTTTGTCGGACCTCGTTTCAACATTTCTCTTGCCTCTCTGGCTCCGTCTGTGCCAATCATTTAACATACATTCATCGCACAACTATTTCTGCAGACGTTCTGCTGATGAGGGGCTAGATAAAACCGTGTAAATAATTTTGTAGGTTATTCTGATTTCATTTTACCCTTTCCAGCCACACTGGAATTTGGAATTAAAGGCAGGGACCATGTCTCATACTCCTGAGTTATTCCCTGAAGTTAGCTCAGCATCAAATCACTTTGTTTAGTAATTATGTCTTTGTATATTTTGATTGATTATATATACTTATATATAAATAACACATAATGAAGAGAAGACTGGCTATTTGGCGTAAGGATTCAGGTGTGGGGCAGCTGGTTTGGTGGAATCAAATCTAATGAGAAATATGCTAAAATGGCATTCAAACAAGTCCCTTCAAC